TCCCAAAGAAGTGTGGGTCAGCCTTCACAACTCTCTGAAGAAATTTGAGTCACTACGGCACAGATCAGCTGTCGACCTTCTCTATCTCCTCGCCGAACAGGGTCTGGCGAGCTTGATTGAAATACACCCCAACCGATCGAAGGGAATGTTCCTGCACAATCCAAACGAACGATATGGGAATCCCATGAGAGCAGCTATGGCCTTGGGACATCACACGGCGGTCCGGAGCTTGGCTTATGAATCGGCGAAAGCTGTCTCGTTGGGCGCGGCAGACCCTCGACTGGCAATCATAATTGATGAGTTGCTCGACCTCTCTCACATCCAACCTGATCGTCGTAGACCCAAATGGAAGCGGGATGATCGTCTAACCACCGCATGCCGGCTTGGGAGCCCCACCTTCGTCGAAATGATGTGGGATCATCTGTGCCCTGACCCCCCTCCAGACTGTCTGGCGACTACACTGAAGCACCTACCAGATTACAAGCGAATTCCTATGGCGAACCTTCTGCTTCAGAAAGGTGCAGCTATAGACGGCAGGGACGGGACATGGCCGGTGGGCCACACAGCCCTAGCACACGCTGTCGAAGACAATGATATAATAACAGCAGAATATCTTGTTTCGCGAGGCGCTTCTATAGCTTCCGAAGAACTCACTCAGCTTCTGGCTTTATCGCAAACGACAAGTATGGCCAGACTTGTGCTTCAAGTGGGCGCAGACCTCCTCGACCCAAACTGTCTGGCGACTACACTGAAGTACCTACCAGATTGCATACGAATTCCTATGGCGAACTTTCTGCTTCAGAAAGGTGCAGCTATAAACGGCAGGGACAGGATGGGCTACACAGCCCTAGCACACGCTGTCGAAGACAATGATATAATAACAGCAGAATATCTTGTTTCGCGAGGCGCTTCTATAGATTCCGAAGAATGCAGTCAGCTTCTGGCTCGATCGCAAACGATAAGTATGGCCAGACTTGTAGCTTCAAGTGGGCGTAGACCTCCTCGACCCAACGTCAGGTATCAGATTGCACCCACTTTTGGAGTCGAAGTGGAAGGAGCTTGACTTTGAACAAATTCTTGCGGATCTGCCCGAAACCCTGAGGGAAGCTTGTTACCGTTAGGGCTACAGCGATGGAGATACCTTGCTACACATGGCAGCTAGGAATGATCACCCTCATGCCCTTTCTGTCTTACAGCTTGGCATATCGAAGTACACAATCGATGTGGATAAGAAGAACAGATACGGTCACACACCTCCTTTTCTCGCCGCAATCAGGGGACACACCACTGTGATGGAAGTCTTGCTTCACCATGGTGCAAGCATGGATCTCCCGTATAATAACGGTCACACTCTTCTTCTTATCGCCGCAAACCGCAGACTCACTGCTGTGGTAGAAGTATTGCTTCACCATGGCGCAAGCATAGATCTCCCGGATAACAACGGCAGCACGCCGCTTTCTGTCGCCGCAAGCTTGGGAAATACTGGTGTGGTGGAAGTCTTGCTTCACCATGGTGCAAGCATGGATCTCCCGGATAATAAAGGTCACACTCCTCTTTCTCTTGCCATACGCAAGCAACACCGTGCTGTGGTAAAATGCTTGCTTAATCATGGTGCAAGCTGAGATCTCCCAGACCACGAAGACCATACGCCTCTACCACACGCTATGTCATATTTTACCTACTGCATTCTTGGATGGTCAAAATATTCAGCTTCTACTCGGCAATGGCGCGGATGTGAACTGCTTGGACTACTGAGGGTGAACAACTCTATATCATGCATCAACCACTCTGGTGGTTCATGATAACTAATCACCGGATCGATTTGCTGCCAAGTTGCTGGACACGCACAAAATATCCATGGATCTGAAGATGCTGGATTATATTTCCCAGGTGCTGTCGTCTTATACCGGGCATTGGGTTGCAGGCAGGCCGTGGAGAGATCGACACGGACAATAGAATCGGGAATATCACAAGGGAATGCTTATGAATGCGCATGATGAGACTAAGCATGCTTCAAATGGAGCGGCCTGCTGCTGCCGTATTAGGACCACTCTCCACTGATGCCACGTACTCTGTAGGTAAGGGCTTCCTCTGCACGATCCCCAATATCCCGAGCATATATCAACTGCCGGAAGCGATTCGCAGAACGTAAGAAAACATGGAAGGCGGTCCTCATCGCTAAACACCGTTGGATTAATCTCAAGAACACTTATATGGGAAGTTTGACAGGGGCAAACTACCCATGGCAGCAAGCACGGATGAGCAGAGCAACGATGCTCCGACGAAGAAGCTCCAAGAGTCCCTCTATCGTCTTGGAAAGAGCTCCGGCAGAGCTGCCCTTGGTTTCAAGTGGTTATTTTCCACCTATAGATCTCGCGGTGTCGCGTTCGGAAGCCTATTGGCATCATACCCAATCTCTCCCAGTAGTACGGAGTAGACGGAAGAATAAACGCAGTCGACATCGACTTGGCTGGCCACCATGAACCAGGTACGGAGTTAATGCCACTATCATCGCTACTTCCACCTTAATACAGCCAGGCAAGGTACTTGACTCCGGTGATAACAACTTGGTGGTCAGCTTATTGACCTCCTTACCGGTATCCGACTTAATGGCAACGGTATCCCATCAAAGATAAATATGGACCGTCCAACATGATGAGTTGGGTACAGTTCGACTTCATCTCTCTTTCTCCCTTCCATGTTCCTTAATCAATCTCAGAGGACATAATGGCGACCGAAAATCTTTCCGACAGCAGGCGCCCGCAGACCTGGCTTATTACCGGCTACTCCTTAGGCTTCGGGCTCGCTCTCGCGCGGCTGGTGTAGGCCCGCGGCCACCGGGTAATCACCATATCGCGCCGGCCGGCCACGATACCCGAGCTCGTGGCCGAGATCACCGGCCGGGCAGGGGGCCGCTGGCTAGAGCTAGACGTCGACAACCCCGCGTGCGGTAATATAATCGACAGCTTGGAGTCAGGGGAGTCGGAGTCGGCGGATAGGGATACGACGATGCAGATTAACGTGCTTATTAATAGCGCCGGTATCGGGCTCGCCGGGCCCGTCGAGTCCTATAGCAATGCCGAGGCCCGCCGCCTTATAGAAACCAATCACTTCGGGCCCTACCGGCTAATGCGGGCCATCGCGCCGCGTATACGCGGCCGCCGCGCCGGCGCCATCGTTAACATCAGCAGCGGGTCGGGTATAGAGGCGCGGCCCGCGCTGGGCGTGTACGGCGCGTCCAAGGCCGCGCTGGACGGTGTGCGAGTGAGTGTTGGCGTGAGTGAGAGTGGGAGAGAGAGAGAGAGAGAGAGAGAGAGAGAGAGAGAGAGAGAGAGAGAGAGAGAGAGAGAGAGAGAGAGAGAGAGAGAAGAGGCTGCGTCCCCAGGCTCCCGCACAGCCCAGCCAGCCCTACTACTACGCGCGCAGACACACGAGAGAGGCGCTTGCTTGCTGACCCGAGCTAACGTGCCCTCATTGCCCCAACCTCCGGTGCGGGCGGCCCGGTACCGTACCCACCTTTTAGGCCTCACCAAGACGCTGCACAAGGAGCTGCAGGCGTTCGGGGTGCGCGTGCTGCTCGTGCACCTGGGCGCCTTCGACACGCCCATGGCGAGCAACGTGCGCGCCGCCGCTGCCCCGCCGCCGGCCGACTACGCGGGCACCGCCGTGGCGGCCGTGTGCGACACGCTGCTGCGGCCGTCGGCATTCGCGCCGCCCGGGGCACCACCCCAAGGCCGTGCGGGCCATCTACGACGTCGTCGCCGCCGACGAGAAAGGCTCTGGGGTGCGAGATGATGCTGCCGCTGGGGCGCCGACATGGCCACCCGCGCCCGCGAGGCCCAGGACCGTCTGGCGCACGCCATGGACGTGTTCGGCGACGTGTGCAACGCCGTGGGGCGTTGACTCCTGAGGAGGAGATTTGCTTGTGCGGGCTAGGTTAGGTACCTAGGTAGGGAATGAGAGGAGATGGCCAGCCCACGTAGTATAGGTAGATAGATACGTCGACGATCCATATCTACCTACCTACGGTGCCTGCGCAGGGCGGGACTTACTCCGTGACAACCACGTGTGCGTGACTACCGTATGAGCCATGGAAGAAAGATGGGTGAGAGTGGGTTGGGGCAGAGGGGAGAGCCATAGAGTCACGGGACGACAACATGAACAAGATTGCACTGTCAGGAGGTCTTCAGAGGGGTTACGGACATGGTCTGATATGGGTTGCGTGTGTATGCGGCGAGCACTGGCTCGTCACTCGTTTCACATGGGTCAAGTGAGCACATGCGCATGCTCTTGGATCGGGCTCTGGCCTTGCTGCGGCCCCTCTTGAAGAACCCCGTCAAGCAGTCACGGCGCACGGGGCATATCTGGCAAGGAGTACTCCCTACCGTACTCCGTACAGGATACTCCGTACTCCATGTGCAGTACGGCGCGCCCCCTGCGCGTCAGAAAATGAGTGAGCCAAGCGGGCATCACGAAGTTCAGAAATAAGCCACGCCCAGCACCGCCAACAGTACCTACGAGAGGGAGAGCGAGATAAAGCAATTCTAAGACTTCTGGTTTTTCCCATAGCTCTTGAGCTCTGCGCTATCCGGAAATTCTGTGAGTTAATTAACGTGCTTTTTCCTAGAAATAATGCGATTTAAGTTTCCCCTCCATTGACTCAATCATGCTCATATCTCCGATATGGAAATACTCTTAATACATCTAGGTAGGGATAAACATCAAGTTTTAAGCGGTAATAAATATTGGACTACAAATGAGCTTCACGATGGCAGCTCACTGCCTCCAGTGAGCCTTTCAGGTCTTTCGCTGGGGCATTGGTGCCTGCATTTGACCAATGGACTTACACGTAATGCAGGTGGCTCGCGCGTGGGTCGGTGACAGCCTTTTCTCATCTTCCCTCATTCTAGCGTCTATCAAACAGTAGTGCGAGCGCGGTAGGCCCGAGGCATCCGTGTACATGAATGTTTTTTAGAAAATTGTCAAATCAACTTTCCCATTCTTCCGTGGCGCAATTGGCTAGCGCGTCTGACTGTTATGGAGTCCGTGCTCTCTTCTGAGTGTTGTGGACAAAGTGCAATCAGGAGGTTGACAGTTCAAGCCTGTCCGGGAGAGATGCTTTTTTTTGCCATTCATAGTGGCAGTAGTACGTACCTCTGGGTAAGTTCTGCAGAACATTACCAGCATGCTGGGAACCAATGGACAACATATGTTTTCCAGGGACTCACGTGACAGGATCCTAGGTTGTAAGCTGATAAGTATAATATGAAGGAAGGTCTCGACCCCTCATGAACAATCAATACAACTCACCTCAACCAGTCTTTCAAGCTAACATGATTGAACAACAACAGCATGTCGCTGGACACCCTCCCCCAATGAGATACTCCACCAAATCTGTGGCTATCTGCAATCATGCCACCCCCATAGCCTCTGCCATGGGAAGAGCACTGGATGTTGTACCCCGATATCAAGATCCATGTTCGCTCGCGCCTAGCTGAGGACTGACCTTGGCAGACGGACCCGCCTCCTCGGTCCCCGAGAACGATAAGGCAGCCTGGGAGGGGCGTGCGAGACCGCAGCACCTCCCCAGTGGGCCCGAGGGTGAGGTCTTCCGGCGCCGAGGGCGCCTATGGCCCCTGGAAGAGGGAGTCGACTCATTGGCGTGGAGAGAGCGGTGGGAGAGCTGGCCATTGGTTTTCGACGAGGACGCCGAAAGCGAATCCGGCCACGGACGGGTGCGATCACCGTCGTTCTTCTTTACCTGGACTTGGTCGCTCGCCGGTCAACCTGCACCCTTTGGGGGGGGGGGCAAAGAATAAGGGCCAGACCTGGCTCAGAAGAGGTAGAACGCGTTTGCTAGAGGATGACTTGCCAGACGCCGTGGCATTGGACGGAAGGATACAGCAGCCTGAGAAAGGCGCACCTTGGGCGCGTTGGGGCGACTGACTGCGCATGATGTGGAATCTGGATCACGCGTCGAAGGCCATCGGCTCGTCGAGTCTCAATCGCGAGCTGCGACCGCACGCCCCCCCCCGGCAGCTCCCATTGGAGCTGGCCAGCCTTTGCAAATCGAAAGATCAATAATGGATTGTCATTCAAGATGGCCTAGGAAAACCAAGAAGGTGGAAAAACGCTAGACGCTTGCTTTACAGAATCCCGGCCGCAGCCGCTCAGAAAATCCAATCGCTATGCAGAACAGAGAAATCCACGAAAGCAGGTGACGAAGACCAACCTTCGCCCCCGCGCCACCATGGTGACTTAACCGCCATCGCCCTCAGAAATCGGTCTTCACGACGACGAAGCCCTCCTCGCCGTCGGCCTGGCTCAGTATGTTCTGGAAGACCTCGTCCTCGGTCTGGTAGTAGTCGGCGTCCCTGACACACATGTCAGCAAGGACTGGGGCTTTCTCTCTCTCTCTCCCCTTGTCCGTAGTCTGCGCCGCCATCGTGGCGGAACGAGAGGTCAAGTGAATAGTCGGTTGGGTTAAGTAGTTAGGTATTTAAGTTACTCACTCCTGAGAGGCGAAGGTCATCTCGGCGATGACGGTCCACGGCTTGGAGCCCGGCTTGTCCTCGATGACCTCGCACTTGCCGGCGCGCGACGAGATCAGGTAGGGCTTCCCATCCTGCGGCGAGCCCGGAATGCGCTGGTTAGTCGGCGGTGCTGAATAGATGGATGGATGGATAGGTGGATGGATGGAGGAGAAGGGATTCATGGGGTAAGTTACTTGCCTTCTCACATGCGTTGACAAAGTTGCCAAAGACCGATACCATCAGGTCCTGCTTGTAGGGGTCCGACGCGGCGAACAGCGAGATTCTGGTGATGGTCATCTTGGCGGCGGTGATCGAGGTCGTATGATGGAGAGAAAGGCTGGGCGTATCTCTTGGAAAGGCTTTTCTTTAGTACCGGTAGCTGGTGACACCAGACGGACGGCTGCAGGCTTGGAAGTAGGATGGCTGATGAGTTCAGGAGGGGCAGTTGCCCATATACATTGATAGCACAGACGACTTTCGTACCGTACCCACCTAGGTCAGACAGTTTTATATACCAGTAGAAAGCGGCACGGTCTATAGACCTCCGGATTACACACCTACAAATACAAACCACAGAAACTCGTAATAGTCGTCGCGTTGTCGTCGTGATTCGTGCGCATTGTTCGCGAAGTGTCATCGCTGCTGACCTCGGTCAGCCAGGGCCCAGCCAGACAGGCAGACCCCCCGGCGACGGTGCCAGCGGTGGGGTTGATTGGAACCTGTGCCGCCGCGGGCCCCAGAGCCAAGCCAACGCCAATGCCAACGCCAAGCCCTGCCCGTCAGACTCGACACAAAAAAAACGAGCCAGCTTCCGAACCAGCGAGGTCGAAATACCGATAGCAGCTGAAGTTGTGTGCGCACGCGCGCAGGGAGAAGGAGGAGGATTCCGCGCCATGATATAGGCCAAGACGGAACTCCGGCTTGCGAAATACCCACGCCGCAGGGAATAATAAGCATTCCGCCGCCCGCGCCCCAGCGGCGAGCGACATGGCGTCGTGCGTTGGGCGTGTCCCCTCGCAGTCAGCAAAGTGGACACGCTGCGGGTGCAGCTGCTTGCTACGGCGCGACTTGGTAAGGTGAAATGAGGTAGTTGACATGTCTCACGTCCGAGACTCCGGTGGACTGAAGTACCACCGAAGGAGAAGGAGAAGAGGAGGAATGCGAGGAGAAGAGGAAGAGAGACAGATGCAACTCCGTAGTCGAGGGAGGGAGAGAGAGAGCTGCGCGTCGTTGCGAAGTTGCGCTGACAGAGGCACTCAACGTGGTAGGAGAGATGTCTCCAACTTTCTGCTGTGCCAAGGAGGAAAAAGGATTTGAAGGCATTACTCTCGCCGACGAGTTAGCCACCACCAAGGTGCTATGGTAATTCAGACAGGTACGGTAAGTTACTTGGGTAGGTAACCGGGCCCGGAGCGACGCGGTATGCTTTTCACGGCAGACCTACAGTAACGATGCCGGTAGTTATCCAGACGTCCACGGGATCGACTGCAAAGCGGGCCGGGAGACTGGCCACGCCCCAGATCGTCACGTACAGCACGGTACCAACGACGAGCGGGCCTCGCCGCCGAGCACGCATGCCTGCCAGCCGCGGCCCCCGGCCGGTGGGGCGCGTTCGTCCCGCGCGGCGGCAGCGGAGACGCGGGGCAAGTGCCGGCTCCGGGGGGAGTCACGGTTCCTGGACAGAAATGCTGATGTTGACTAAGTGAGAAAATACCTCTAGTCAGGATTCAGACCAGGTACAAACCAACCCTTTGTTGGCTTTCGCTCCGGTGAAAGGGACGATCCTCTACGAATGCCCATGCCGGCGGCGTAGGATGTGGGTAGTTGGTCGCAAAGGCCGACTACGCCCCGATCCTTGGCGCAGAAGTGTCGCGGTCGACGTGCCATGCTGGCATTGAGTCTGGCGCTTGGTTCTTCGGCTCTCTTCCGTTCTTCCCCTCGGGTTTTGAAGTGTTCATCTGCCCGACTTACGCTCTACCGATACCCTTCCAATCCCTTTCGGCTCTTGGGTACTTGACTGTTGAATAGTAATCACGTTGCTAAGTTTATAAGAGCAAGGTCTGCTAGCTCCGGACAGCCACGTGGTGGACATGGCTGTGATATTTCTAAGCTTGTCTCGTTCTCGCCCGCACGTGCAAACGGTGCGCTTACTGAGTCATCGGATGGGCATAGGGGCCGAGCTGGGAAGCAAGTCGGCGGGACTGTACTTCGTACTGGGGAAAAATCAGAAAGACCGGATTCTCCTCTATGAGACCAGAGAGTGGCCATGGAAATCACATGTCTCGCGTCTAACCCCTTAACTTTTCTTCTGCTATCTCCATTTCGATCTTCGACCTGTCACCATAGATGGACCTGACTATGGACCTTTCTAGTCAGGCACTCCGAAGCTTGTGGCCTGAGATACGTTTCAGGCAGCACGTGGGAATATTTCCAGATCGTTTCACCTCGGGCCTTGAAACATCAAAGCATACCTTATTATGGTGCTTGTGAGCCCAGCCGTTGAAGCTACGGCGCTGCACCACGCGGAGGAGGCGTCAGCTTAAACTCTGTACCTGCCGCTAGGAAGCACATTAAGCTGCAGCATCGCGTGGCCGTTGTAGAACTCTCTATTGTCTCGGTATTTGGACATTTTCCGGCAGGGGGTTCCAAGTATAGATGCGGCCTTGTCTGCCCATCGCACCCGACTACTGCCGTCGACGACTTCTCGTATCCGCGCCGCTCTATCTCAAATGCTGTATTTCCGTCTTACACACACTGAGCAGTAGGTTCGGCAGCTGACAACTTGTGGTTCTGGGCTGCATTTTACTATTTCTTGCATATATCATCGGCATGACCGCCGCATGAGAATCGCTTTGCCAAGACATACACCTCTCACCCGGTACAACTGCTTTGTCGAGGATGCTAACCCACCGTCTTGATCGGGGTCCTACTCTATCCGAAGCCCACATCACTCCCAGACAGCATCTAATACCACCCATCCCGCCCAGTCTGGACATCGGAATGCTCATGGTGAACCTGATTCGACGGGGCAGCTGGACACCCAACCACCAAACAAGAATAGAAGAGCCCGCATCACGACCGGCAACTGGCTCGCAGGACAGCCTGATGGAAGCTCGACGCGTCTTTGCGGGTCCGGACCGGAACGTCACCTCCGTTACCCCCTCGCGAGAAGACTCAAGAAGCACGATCGTGGCGCCATCGACGGCATATGCGAAGCCGCCGGACGCAGTCGTCTCGAACGCCGCGCCGCTACCCTCACTGGGCGGCATACAAAAGACAGTCACGACGGTGGTCTCTAGCTACCTCGTGAGCGATGAGGACATCGTCGAGGCGTACACAGCTTCCTGGTCGGTCAGCGTGCACGCCTCTCTCCCAAGACCAGAGGGAGTCGGAAGATCGCCGACAGCACGAAGCCCGACCCAAGTTCCAACGTCGCAGCGTCATAAATAGAGTTTGCGTCGAGTCAGGCATATCAAGGAGATTATCTTTTCGAGGCCGAGAGCTACAGAAGGCCCGGGTTTACGGTTCATCGCTATATAAGTGGTTGACGTGCTCAGTCAGGCCTTCCCTCCCTTCGGAAGT